TGGGACTCACCCAGCAGGGGCTCGGCGCCGTTGGCCGGGGGGGTGCAGGAGGAGCCGAAGGCGTTGGAGCGGTGGAAGGACGACATCGGCGGCAGCGCCGAGCTCAGCTCGGCCGACGAGTGCGACGGGTAGGGCTGCAAAAACGGGGAGAAAAACGGGGATTTTGGTTAAAAAAGAAAAAAAGAAAAAATTGGGGAAAAATTGGGTGAAAATCGGGTGAAAAACGGGTGAAAAACGGGCGAAAAACGGGGAAAAAATGGGGAAAAAATGGAATTTTGCGGAGACAAAATGGCGGAAAATTGGGGGGAAAATTGAATTTTTGGAGGGAAAAATGGGGAAAAATGGGGAAAATTGGGGAAAAAATGGGGGAAAAAAATGGAGGAAAATTGAGAAAAAAATGGGGAAAAATTGGGGAAAAATTGAGCAAAAAATGACAAAAATGGGGGGAAAAAGGGGGAAAAATGAGGCAAAAATTCGAATTTTTGAAGGAAAAATTGGGGAAAATTTGGGGGAAAATGGGGAAAAAAATTGGGAAAATGGGGGAAAATTGGAGAAAAATTGAATTTTTGAAGGGAAAAATGGGAAAAAATGGGGAAAATTGAGAAAAAAATGGGGAAAAATTGGAGAAAAATGGGAAAAAATGGGGAAAATTGGGGGAAAAATGGGGGAAAAAAAATGGAGGAAAATTGAGAAAAAAATGGGGGGAAATTGGGGAAATTTGGGGGAAAATTGAGCAAAAAATGACAAAAAAGGGGGAAAAATGAGGCAAAAATTCGAATTTTTGAAGGAAAAATTGGGGAAAATTTGGGGGAAAATGGGGAAAAAAGTGGAGAAAAAAAGGGGGAAAATTGGGGGAAATTTGGGGGGAAAATGGAAAAAAATTGGGCAAAAAATGGGGAAAAAAAGACAAAAAAAAGGGGAAAAAATGGGGGAAAGTTGGGAAAAAATGGGCAAAAAATGACAAAAAATGGGGAAAAAATTGAAGAAAAAATGACAAAAATTTGGAAAAAATGGGAAAGAAATTGGGGAAAAAAT